CAAAAGGGGAAATGTGCCTTTTATATTGGGACGGACCGAAAAGGAAAGTGTGCCTTTTATATTGGGACGGAGGGAGTATTAAGGAAACAAATTTGACTTCACATTGTAGCGACACTGTTTGACATTGTTTTGCATTGTTTACTGTTTGGTATAGATTTGTTTACCAAATAAGGAAGTCAAAGAAGTAGAACAATTATTTAGGGACTTTCATTTTGGGAAAGTTGGGCATAAACGAGATCAACGGGAGTATTACATAAAATGTGTTCCCAACGGGATCAACGGAAATCCGAACCGGACGGAATAGAATGACATTATTCTTATCCCACTAGATGTCGAGCTAGCCACCGAGTGACCAGTACAAAAAAAATCCTTAATGTTTAAAGCATTTTGTAAATTTGGAGTGAGCCAACAAGTATTAAATATCGGACCGCATCACACAATGTAGCCGCGGGCGGCGGCGGAATCGCAACGGATCACTATACAGGTGTTTTTTCGAATCGCAAAAGAAACCCGCAACGTTAACGGGGCCGCATCACACCGCATCCGGCCACAAAGGCAACGCATCCGGCCTCCATCCCATCTTGAGGGAAAATGAATATATTTCATGGTACTGCGGCCGAAATAAGCATCGCACTAGGCCCCAGGGGCGGACCGTAGTACAGACCCAGGGGGGTTACCGCCTCTCCAACAATTTTATTTTTTAGTGTGTATATATATAAGAAAAATAATTTTCGCCTCCTCAGAAAATAATTTTCGCCATCAAAAAATATTTTGAACCCTCCCAACATGAATTTCCTGGGTCCGCCCCCGGCACTAGCCGCATTGGTCATAACCATAATGACCACAATCACTATTTAAAACCTTGAGAGTTGAGCCTAATTTGACTCTACCCAGATCCTCCCATGGATCCAGGTTTTCATAAACTGTTCGGAGCCCTAAGTTTTAATACTAGTACTAGATAAGAACATAGGATCGGAACTCAGAGTTTTAGGGGTAGCTGATTGACGAGCACTTTGTCGTAGTGTGCCTCAAATTAAATTCACTACTAAGGGCTAATACTGTAGTATAGCGTAGTAGAGTTCTTATCCACAGGGAAAGGAGTTTTTTGCGTATGTGTAACCGTAATAAATAAAAGTAAACGGACGGGGGAATTGGATATTTTGATAATTGAGAAAGCAAATAAAATACTTAAATGAGTGAAATAAAATACCAAAGGTAATTAGTCTTGATTTTGCTTTTATCCACTTAATGAAATGTTCGTCGATCCCGGTTATATCTTTAACTATCTTCCTCTCGAATACTCAATCGAGGAGTATATCCAGTTCATCGAGGGTAGTTATTAATAACGAGACGCATTCATTAATAAAACCTACTACCGAATTAATATAGAACACGCGTCGTATATTTATTCAATAGTAACAATAAATTCAAGATGTTTTAGTAATAAATCCAAGTTTACATTCAATTATACCCGGAGTATAATTTAGCAAGTTACTTCCAAGTTAACCGGTTACTCTAGCTGATATGGCAATTCATATATTTGATTTTTATTCTTTTTAATTTCTTTTTCTTTCTTTAGTTCTTTCTCTACCTTTTATCGTGTTTTTATAGTTATTTTTTAGTTATTTTTTAGTTTTTTTAAATTTTATTATCAAAATATGCTTCAAATATACTCCGGGTATCTTTTTACATAATTCAACAGATTTAATCAATTCAATCACTTCAACCAACACTTTATCGGTAATTCAAATATATTGGTGTATCTATCTCAAAGACCGGGTCCTAGAACCGACGTCTTGATCTAATGATCGGCCGGCTCGCCCATACCCTTCTAGCATAGTGATCTCATAATACAGCAGGCTCTCATCGCCTCATCTTCATGTTTTGACCAGCTCTTCAGCGCCGATCTCATAATTTTACGACCGGCCCCTAAGTGTTGTCTTCATGATCTTATGATCGGGACAACCCATCTCCTTTCAGGATGGCGACCATCGTATTTATATATTCTGACCGACCCCTCACCTAATTTCATCACCTTCTCCATGAGTTCGGTGTTATTCCAAGTTCTCCAACAGTTTCTGTGATACTATGAGTGCTACCAATATTTGTGCGCTTTTCACTCTCGCATGAAGCACATTGCATTGATTTTTAATTTTTGCGTGAACAAATACAAAAAATAGGTCTTCACGTCGTTCAGGTTCTTATCAAGGATCAACTTGTTAATTCTCTCACTAAACCATTGGCTCGATCAACAATTATTTCTAACTCATCGAACCAAACTCGGTATTCTTCCCGGACCTCTTTCGCAGGGGGGTGTTACTACTTATTCATGACATTATCAGTTGTACCTATGTTCATCTCTACAAACTAGTTATCTACGTAATATTTAGGATACTATCCGTATATAGTGGATCTACTAATTAACTACTTTGTTGGATATATAATGACTAGTCTTTGTACTGCACAAGTGTGCCTGAATGTACGAGAACATTTTATTTTATTAATCCCTACGTAGTATCATTTGATAAAATAAAACAGTGCACCAAGAAATTCGTTTGATGTATCAGCTCCCAGAATGGGCATCCTCCATTATTGTGCACTTAGGTGCACGTGAATGTAGGAGTCCTTTTCTTGGCCTGGGCCGACGCATCACGGGTCGCTTAACTGTTCTTTTTCTTCTTCCCAATCCCGTGCCCGTCGTTTCACAGCTTTGAAGCTTCAACTGGCTCGTAAACTACTGAAGCCCGTACCTTCCGTTTTTTATCATCAAAAACATGTCTCTATTCATATCAAAAGATTCGGGATCATTACATCAAGCAAAGGGAAAATAAAACAGACACCAACTGAAACTCCAACAACTACGACTGTAACCTTATGGTGAGACTTTGAGACGGTCACAACGGAGAGAGACAAAAAACTAATGTAACGGGCTTGACACAGCCAAAACTATTCCCATAGATCCAACCATACCCAATGACATAAAGAGAGGCAAAAAACTCAAACAAACTGTCAAACCCAACAACAAAAATGGACGCAAGAAAATAAATAACAAATAGATAAAACTACAAGAAAAACGTCCACGAACTCTAGCACCTCGTGCATCCCATGGTGGTGGTTTAGAAGGAGGTCGTATCACTGGTACCATGCTAATTGATCATTTGATCCTCCATGACCTTTGGCTGCCAAAGACCACGCATCAATCCTCCGTCCCTGCATAACCAAACTCATCCCTGCTCCGTGTGAACAGAGTAAGCGGATAGGCGGCGCCGATCTTCTCCAAAGACGATAGCAACGCCGCATCCTCGAACCTTGATCACAGCGCCGATCTCCTCAAGCCATGATAGCAAATCTGCCCTCCTCCACCGATCTCCGCCCTCCGCGTCTGACCTGGACTCCAGTCCAGCACCAGCGACCAAGGGATAACAAAGTCGATCTTCGACAAAGTCGAAATCGGAAAAACGTTCCAGCGGCCGACATAGTCAAAGCCCTAGAGAGAAAAACTCGTGATCGCTCTACCTTAGCCAAAAGCAGACCACTGCTCCGCGGCCAGATATGCGAACAAGAACTACCGAACTTCGATCAATATGATCGAATTCGGAAAAAACCCTAGAGGCGGCTGCCCTAGGAGAAACAATCTGCGCCCCCCGAAATAGGAGATGTTACACCATCGATTGTCCCTTTCGCACAGGGGCAACAATCTTTCTCGGTATCAATCTTATACGGGCTTCTCAGCCTCTATCATTCCCCGTACCTTCCATTATAAAATTGGGGGTATATATCGTTCAACTTTGCTAGGCTGTTTTTTTTGTATCTGTGAATTCTGTCTATAGACAAAATTGACAGTTAAACGACTATATAACGGTAGAATTAAATTATATAGCTAGATCAATTGGTTTGTGTTGATGACTAGTTAAATGCCAAAATCAAGGATTTAACACAGTGATGCTATATAGTAGGATATATTATACAGAGGAAATGTCAATTGAGTACATCATCTTGTATGAGGTGGAGTTAAGAACACATTATATTGCATTTGACATTCGTTAGTATATAAACTCAGTTATTTCGTGTTAGTTGAGTACACTTATAGGATTAACACGTGGATGTGGATAAGTTGGCTAATGGAATGCTGAGTAAGAAACGATTTTGGACCAAGGTTATGGCGCCGATCTTCACAAAGTCGACCAAAAAGGGAAAATTGATTTTCGGAGGTCGACCTGCGAGGGACGTCAGCCAACAGGGGTGCATCAACTAAGAGGAAGTCGACTTGCCGGGGACTGACGTCGACCAAAGGTCTGGGGCTGGCGTCAACCTTCAGGAAGTCAACGTATTAGCATTCTATTAGCCAACTCGATCATATTAACGTGTTAATCTAACGTAGGCCTGTACTCGGGCCGGGTGGCCCGACCCGGAACCGGCACTGTTCCGATCTTTGCCCGACCTGGTGGCCCGATCAGTGACCAGTTCGGGTAGGCCCGACCCGCTGGGGCTCCGGTCTGGGCTCGACCCCCTCAAAACGTGAACCGGCCCTGCCGGTTCGGCCCGGTTCAGGCCATTTAAATTTTTTCTTTTTTTTGTTTTTTGAATTTTTTTTAAGTTTTTGGGTTGGGCCGGGTATTTTGGGTCATTTGAGATGATTTGGGATGGTTTGGGTGTGAGGGGGGTAGGGGTTAATTAGGAAAAGGCAAAAAAAAAAAAAATTGAACCGAGGCCTAGCCCGACCCGGGTTGGTTCCGGGCCTCCCCTTTCATGAACCGAGGCCAGGCCGGGCCCAGACCGGCCCGAGTCCACCCCTAATCTAACGAGTGTATTCAATTAACACTAAAAAATCAAGTTTTTGTACTTAAGAAGATCAAATACAATATAATGCACTCTTTACTCCACCTCATAGATATTGATGTGCTTAATTGACATTTAGGTCACTTACCTCATATTATACATGATGACTGATGATAATACTTAACTACTCGAAAAGTCGAAATGCAATTTTCCCCGAGAAGGAAATGCCAAAGGGGATAAGTGATTTTATTCAATGGCAAAGGAATTGTTCCCACAAGCTATAAGAAGGTTAGCAATTAAGCACATAATTATCTTTTTAAAATTACGAAAAAAAGTAACTTTAATCTGGTGGCGCAGGAGCAGAACCTTCGCACAAGGATCACCAGAAGGAACCTTTTGCAAGGGTTTCAAATTTTCAATACACAAAAACATGGTTCATCTGAGCTGTCTTGACTCATCACTAAACTTGGAAATAACAAACAATTCAGGTGAACTGCCAAGTTCCCTTAATTATAGATATATTAAATGTATAAAAGGCTGGCTGGCTTTTCACTATTTAGGACCACCACCACCGATATCCTTCACTGTGTTAATCTGCTCTTCTCCCATTGCAGCCATGACTGACACTATAAGATCCTTCCCTTCTTTAAATCCATCTTGGATCTGTACAAAAGCGAAACTCATGTGAGAAAACCATTTTGAGTTTTATTTTAGAGATATTACCCTAAATAGGACTAAAAAGTTTGAAAATTCCAAAATAAGACTGTCATGTTTTTATTCCCAAAATAAGACTAATTACTGCATTGTTTTAGCAGTACCAGATGATACGCTTGTAATTTTCGTGTGTATGTTTATGTTTTTAGCTAGTTTTGATTGTTTAATATTTCAGAAATTACACACTTTTGGTGTAATAGTTATGTTTGTAAAATAGTTGTAATATGTTTAGATTAGGATCATTCTGAGCTTAACCAGATCCAAATGATCATTGGTGAAGAAAGGTGCAATAGTACAAGACAAAAAGAAGGCAAATTCCTGATTTTTGACCCGTACTCGGTCGAGTATAGCATATACTCGATCAGGTACCACTTGGATTTTCAATCAGATCAATCACGAAACAAAGGGACGTGCAGGGGAAGATTTGGCCATGATCAGTTGTCATACCCGATCAGGTACACCAACATACTCGATCGGGTATGCCTATAGTTTTTACACTGAATTCGATCGAGTATGTCTCAGATTGGAATTTCTACACATACTCGATCGAGTACCTAAATATACTCGATCGGGTACCCGAGTTGCACCCCTAAAAAGCCTATAAATACAAATCCCTTCCTTCACAATTAGATACAAATTCCTTTGTACTCTTAAGCTCAATTTAGAATAACATTTCTTAATATTTCTTCTAGCATGTTTAGTCTCCAAATGAGGAGCTAAACTTCCACTTCTTGGTTTTGCTCTTGAAGCTTGTTGATTATTAAAGTTGTGAGTTATTTTCTTAACTTCTTCTCTTGATTATTAATTCTTCCCTTAATCTCATTCTATATTAATGTTGGAGGGTTGCTAAGTGACGATTTGTTAATGTTCCGACATTTATTATTACTATAAATGATCAACGAACCGATGGTTAATCGTTGATAGTTTCACAAGTAAGTAACTGCGGTTTATTAATGCACGGTCGTGGTTAATAAACTTAAGAGGGATTAATTTTGTTGGTTAAACCGAAACCGTTGTGTTGAGGGTATCAATCTCATTTGATTTCATCAAGGAGTTAAAGAGATTAAATGCTACTATTATATCGGTATACGGCATTGTTCTATATTTGATTAATAGTAAGGGTTTTTAATGAACGGTCGTTGTTAATAACTACCCTCGATGAATTGGATATACTGCTCGATTGAGTATTCAAGAGGGGATAAGTTATAGATATAACAATGATCGACTAAAATATATCAACAAGTGGAAAGTAGCAAGACCAAGTCCCTTTTATTTTTGAATTTAATCTCATATAAGTCATTCATCTTTGTGTTTAAATTAAATCAAATCATTCAACCCAAAACCCCCTTTATTTACTCCTTTCGTTAAAAAGATAATTATTCCTTCCCTGTGGATACGAACTCTACTTCACCTATACTACGTATAAGTGTTAGTATCGATTCATTTTGACGCACCGTGACAAATTGCTCGTCACCAGACTTCAAACATGACAGTATTTTCTAAACTTGGCAGTAATTACTCCTATTTTGGGAATAAAAAACATGACAGTCCTATTTTGGAATTTTCAAACTGTTTTAGTCCTATTTCGGGAACTTCCCCTTTATTTTATTTAACGCCAAAAAAAAGAACACATTCCTTTGAACTGCTCTACTATTTGGGCATAAAGCCAAATTTGTTCCACTTTACAATTATGTGTTCAATTGTTCCAAAAGAAAGTTGGAGCATATATCCATCCCTCAATGGTATATTTGTTCTTTCTCCCTTTAATCTTTTCTTACTATGCAACAACTAGTAAGTAAAACAATATTACCTGCTTTAACAGACCATCATCCGTGGGAAGCTTCAGGTCATCTTTGGTACTTCCACTTTCTGTGAGAAGAGAGACCTAAACAATCACAGCAACACAATAGAAATATTTTTAACAGTTCGAGCATAAATACAAGAACAAAAACAATCAAGTGCTTCATAATATTCCATCGTCTAACTATCTTTTTACCATCTTCATTTTTAATCTATGCCAGTAAGTTCGTATAATATCTGAGTGTTTCTACTTCATTCTTACTTGATCATACTCGCACTTTACAATTTTAATATCAAACATATTATTCCATTTTATTAATAAAAAAACAAGCTATATGATTCTTAAGTGGCAAAGAGCCTTAAATGATGATAACTTTTGTGTATTATTGACAACAGGAGTTGACCAAAATTTGTCTGGAAGAGCAGTTGTGGAAGAAGTGCCTTTGGTGACTTACTAATTATAATACATACTATAAAATAGTAATGTTACACCCAATTACTTAAATATATAACGAAAATGATACAAAACGCAAGTTACTGGTAAAGTTGCCTGGTTTGTACTCAGAAAGTGGCTCGTATCATTTTTGTTAGACATTATTTTTTATGAGTGATTGATTGTTGGTATTTTTTCATGTTATATTATCTTTAAATAAATATGCATATTTAAAAGGATTTTCCAAATTTAAAAAAATTGGCATTTAAATGAAAATATACAATAATATAAATATGCTTTTCATTTATGCATTTATGTTCTACAAAAAAAATGCCAGGTACGCAATACCCTTAATTTCCATCTTCTTTACTAAATTTGTCTAAAGCACCAAAAAGTTCAGAATTAATGGGTGTCTTACAAAACCATCTTCAGAGATGTCAATAAGCTGATAGTCAACACGATTAACATGTGGCACCTGAAGAAAAAGAGTAGAGGCATGAGACAAATCATTCTTTGTCAATTGTAACACAACAAAATACATAGAAAAATGAAAAGAAGTAAAAAACAATGATGAATTACATCACAATTGTGAGATGAAGGAACAATATCTTCGAGCTTCTTCCCATTGAAAATATCAATTCCCACGAAATGGCATTTGGCGTGCCCATGCTTGCCAGTTTTTGAGGTGGAGACCTCAACAACCTTTGGAAATAAAAAATTATCACCCGGTAAAAATATTCTTCCATAGAAAGCGGCAACAATTAGCAGAGAAGTATCAATAACTTAAGGTGCTGAAGTTTTCTGCATTACACTGAACAAAATATATGATTGATAAACCATGATAACTGTCTGAACTGCAGTGATGCATACTTACCTTATAGGCTTATAGTGTGTTCCATCTTTTTATTGCGAGTGTGTTTCATCTCTTAAATACCAGGAAAAAAGAACAAGATAGAGAAACATGATGTAAATATATACTTACTTTTTAAAAAACCAATTGATGAATGTAAAATGTGCTCCGACAGAACACCATTACTAGACCTCAACTATACAGTATATGGCTTTATGATGTAAAACAAATTTTTTAACTCAATGATGTCAAATTTAACACTGAAATATGCTAAATTTATATAATTGCTTTCAAAACAAGAAATTATTAAATGAAACTCTACACAAAAGTGGGGCTTTATTCAAGTGGTAAAACGTCCACCAAGGGTCTTATTATACGTAGGACTAAGAGCCAATAGTGATATGTTATCACAAATAACAGAAGAAATAATTAATCCACTCATTTAAAACCTGATCAAACCTCTTTATTATCCAAAACTTACATTTTGACAATTAACTATTAAGGGGGTCACCCATCCTTTTCCAATAACATTTCAATTTTCAAGGTAGAGAAAAAACCATTATTATATACCAACCAACAGTGAGAAAAATCTCAATCCTAAGAACCCAACATTAAAAATTGAAGTAAATGACTACCTACTGTTCCAGTGCAGAGAATGATGCTTTGGGAGTTTTTAATATAATGTGAACGAAGAATGACCAAGTAAGGTAAATTTCGAAGGGGAAAATCAAATGAGCACCCGACAAAACACTGTGCTTTAATGTGGAAGATTAAGGGTGTACAAATTTTCCTCCAAAAAAAGAATCAAATTTTCACATCCACTACAATAAATTATCAGTTTCCAGATGAGTAACGGATTGCAGATTCCTCGTGATACATAAAATATATCCATTTTTCATAGATAGATTACACACAGAGGCGAATCAGGCGATAACCTAAAAGAGTTTCAGATCTGGAAATTGGGGGGGATATTTAATATCAATATCAGAAACCTATGAAAGAGATTAATCAGCTATCAGGTGGAAAACATGATGAATCTATCAGAGGCAAAACGCATATCTGCAGAAGAATATAAAGAAGACCTTGCAAGGACGGTTTTTAATGACTATATAGCCATTCTTGCGGATGGTTCCAGCTTGCTGCGGGTAGGTCTTGGATGCCCCTGCATCTCCCTTCGCCTCGAATTGGTGCTCCTCGTCCGACATGGCCGCTGGCTTTTCCTCTCACTAAGCACTGGTCTCTCTCTTTCTCGAAAGAAGTTCGGAGAGAAAGAAGAAAAGGACCCGTTTCAGATAAGTATGACTACCACAAATATCAAACTCATATTCGGATTCCCTTTTTGCCCAGATAAGTTATATGGGCTTTATTTGTTTTTATTTGGACTCCACAAAAGCATAGTACATGGATCACCAGTCCGAGATACTTTACCATAAGCACGGTTTAGACCTGTACAAAACCGGCCCGGCCCCGCACGGCCCGCCCGGCCGGCCTGCACAAATGGGCGGACTTGGGCATATATAGTTACCCACCGGCCCGGCCTGAGCCAAGCCCACAATAACATATGGGCTGACTTGGGTTAGAGTGTAGACCCGTTCGGACCGATAAGCTCAGCCCGCTAACATATGGGTTGTCTTACTTTCTTTTTTGAGTTGTCTCAAAATGGATGTTCTGTTTCTCTTTTCGGCAAGAAATTTGTAGTTCATGTTATTTCCATTTATTCTAATTAAATTTCAACCACAACTTTTACTTTTCAACCTCTTTATTAACAACCGTGCCAAATTGAAATGAGACAACCATTATGGGACGGAGGTAGTACGAAATATGGAGTACATTTTTACAATTCATTTCAATCCGTAAAGTAATGACTATAGATCTTTCCATTTGTAAATATTTTCATCATGTCATCAATAACGTCGAAAATAATACATTTCTCATCATACTTTTAATAATTTATAATCCTTCTGTCTCTAATAATTTTGCCAAGTTTGACCAACACATGGATTAATAAAGTAAAAACTGTGTGATTAATGTTTGTGCAGAGGAGAGATAATTAACTGGAACCACAAATTCTTTACTTAAAAGGGAAAGTGGCAAAGTTAATGGGACATCTAAAAGGGAAAGTTGACAAAATTATAAGGGACGGAGGGAGTATCTTTTTTCACTATTCATAATCTACCTACTTCTATAACACTTAACATACTCATTACAAATCAATTTATTCATAAAAAGCTCGTTTGGTAACACTGAAATTGACTGAATTAGTTGATTCTGCTGAAATTTATGAAGTTTTGACTGAAGTGGTTGTATTAGCTGATTTTGCTGATTTATTAAGGAATTATTATATTTAAAATATTTTTTTATATTTAAGATATATTTTATGAATAAAATATTATAAAATTATATGAAAGAATAGCCAAAATGGTCATCTACAGTCAGTCAATACAGCTAGAAAAGTAACTTTAACCTTACTTTTTCTTATTATTACACAATTCAGCGCGCGAAATCAAGAATTACGTGTTAGGTTAAAAAGTTGGACGATAAGCGTGATAAGCCTAAAAAAAGAATCACCAAACAGGCTCTAAGTATACCAAACAGGCTCTGAGCATATTCATCTTACAATATCATCTTTTAGACATTATTATACAGTTCTATAACCAACACATGTAAGACATTTCTTCTGTGAGGAGCCTATTCTCAAAGTCATTGGTCATACTCTAATCGCCCTTATCCCTAAGGAACCCAATGCTTACCAGTTTTCAAAATTCCGCCCCATCAGCCTAAGCAATTTCATTAACAATTTTTTTACTAAAATTATTACCATTAGAATTTCCTCCCTTCTTCCTAAAATTATATCGATTGAACAAACGACTTTTCAAACAGTGGGACCCCCCCTCCCCTATTTTGTTTATTATTGTGGTTGAGGTTTTAACTAAAAATCTGAATAGTCTTTTCAAGAATGGCTATGGTACTGCTTTTAAAACCCTCCCTGGTATGCCAGTTATTAGTCATTTATCCTTTGTTGATGATCTCATTGTTTTTTCTAATGCTGAAAAAAATGCTCCGTGCTCTTAACAAAGTTCTTACTGATCATGAGAATTACTCGGGGCAACTTATTAGCAAAGATAAAAGTTACTACCTCATTTCTAAGCATGCCAAGCCTCACAACTATAATATTGTCAAAGAGATTTTCAACATAAAAAAAAGGTTCTTTTCCCTTTACTTACTTGGGGGCTAATATTCATACTGGCAGAACTTTAAATAGACATTTTGACGATATTTTGACTAAATTTGACAATAAGTTGGCAGGTTGGAAGCACAAGCTACTTTCTGTTGGTGGTAGAATTGTTTTGATTAAACATGTCCTTGGCTCCCTCCCCCTTTATCACATGACTGTTTCTCCCATCCCCAATAATGTTATTCTCAAAATGGAGAGAAAACTTTCTAATTTTTTGTGGGATAAAGGTGATGATCATAATAGGAGAATCTGGCGAAGCTTTTTTAAATGTTGCTACCCTGTAACCGAGAATGGTTTGGGATTTAGGAGCCTCCAACATATCCAAAAATCTTTCTTCCTGAAACTGATGTGGACACGAGAGAATGGTATTGGTTTATGGGCCACTTGGGTTAACTCCCTCAAAGATGATAGCAGGTCTATGATGTATAATTCTATTGAAAACATTCAGCCTATTTTTGACAGTAATTGTAAGTTGCAGGTTAATGATGGTTCAAGCTCCTTCTGGTATTCCAACTGGAGCGACAATGGCCCCATATACCATTTCCAGGAGGAAATCCCTCCTTCTCTTGAAAGTCTTACCATTTTTGAAGCTTTTTATCATGACGCCTTGATCCGTCCCGTCCAAAACATCCTGCCCAGATACATTATAGATCAAATTCATGCCATTCCTATTCATTTTAGTGACACCGTTGATAAACTCGTTTGGCAACCGAATAGTAATGGTAAATTCACTTTTAATAGTGCCTATGATGTAATTCGCCCTAAAATAAATCCGAATACTGATGCTAATTTTATTTGGAATTCTCGGATTCCAAAAAAGATTTCTTTCTTTGTATGGCGCCTGAATAATAATCTCCTACCCTTTGCTGATCAGCTCAGCCAAATGGGTATTTGCGGTCCCTTCAAATGTCCTTTATGTCAAAACAGGGATACTAAAGACCACTTCTTTTTGGTTTGCAAGTTTAATCATGCAATCTGGACCTATTTTGAAAACATCCTTGATTTTCGCCCCCCTCATGATAGCATTGGCAACTATACGAAGCGCTGGTACAACGATTATAATGGCCCCTTTAGATATTGTCAATGCCCTCCCAAATATCATCATTTGGCATATTTGGAAAAATCGTAATACCTTCCTTTATGATGACAAAAAGGGCACTTACCTGAGGCTATAAACGCTATTAAAAATGAGTTATTTGCACTATCGGTTGCCAAACCGTTTATTACTACCACCCCGCACCCCCCCCCCCCTTTAACACCATTACCATCCGGCCCAAGAATAGTAGCAGAAGACCCTCTTCTAATCATTGGCACAAACCTCCGGCAAATTACCTCAAAATCAACCTCGCCTCCCGCAACCTTAGACCCAACCTCATTTGTACTATGGCCCTTGTATGCAATGCTTTTGGGAACTACATTACCCATTTAACCAAGATCGATAAGCACTCTGACCTTTCTCTTGCTCTTTATGATATGATTATTACTATTGCCTCTCATAATTTCAAGGCTAAAGGGTCAAATAGGCCCTTTAACTGTCTTAAAGTGTTCAATTGGCCCCTTATATAGGAGGTTCTGCCCGGCCGTCGCCAATTGGGGCGGTTCCCGGTGAAATTTTTTGATGAAATTTTTTGAACATCTTCTTCATTAAGTCTAGTTTACTCATACCAAATTTCAACTAAAAATTCAACAGCGAAGACAGTCAAATGATTTTTTGAAGATAATTGCGAAGTTAAACAGCGCAGTACATTTCGGAAAATCATTTGATTGCCTTCCCGGTTTAATATTTAGCTGAAATTTGGTATGAGTAAACTAGACTTAATGAAGAAGATGCTCAAAAAATTTCATCAAAAAATTCCACCGGGAACCGCCCCAATTGGCGACGGCCGGGCAGAACCTCCTATATAAGGGCTAATTGAATACTTTAAGACAGTTCAAGGGCCTATTTGACCCTTTAGCCTAATTTCAATAATATTATTCTTGAGACTGATAATAGAGAGGTGAATGACAGTATCATTGGCCGCTCCCTTCATCACTAGAAATATTGGTCCCGCATTCGCACTATCAAAAAGAAATTCTGAGATGCCAATTGGACCATTCAAAACATCACTACGGAGGTCAATAAAGCTGCTTATTTCTTTTCTTACCGTTACATCTCTATCCAAACCAAAACTCATCATTTTAACCAGTTTGTTGGTATTCTTAAATTTGATGCAATTAGTTATCCTTACGTTATGTAATGTTTTTTGTTAGTAGGCGTTGGTATAGTCCTCCTACTCATTGTACTCTTTTTTATTCAATAAACAAAAAAAATATCGGTAAATAAGTGCAGCAAAAATACAACTATAGGTAAATGTAGCTACTAGTAGAAATGAAAGTGTAAATAAAATTTTAGAACTAATTAAATGGCAAGTATAACAGTTTTTGAACCAATAATTAAAAAACATACAGTTTTTGTAATAAATATAAATACAAATATTAATTTGTTATTAATTAGGTAGAGAATTAAAGAATAACAATAATACTATGACTAATGATCAATGGTCAATTAAAAAAAATTCATATTTTAAAATTTGATTTACTCGGTTTAGTTCGATTTGAAAGGCAGAAATCCAAACAAAAGCAAATAATTATGATTCGATTTTTATTAAATTTTCGACGGTTCAATTTATTTTGGTAGCACGCTTCTAGAAATATAAGATAAGATGATTGTAGTGAAAATTTATTACCTTCCCTAATCATGTGCACGTTTTAAAATTGAGAAAGTTACTTATGTATGAGTGAAAGTCCTATATACAAGTCCTAGAAATTTGTTCATGTAAAGAGAAAAAAACAAACACACATACTCCTAAATAGGAGTAACTTATGTTCTTATAAAGTGCAAAAAACATACATACTCTTACTCTTATTTGTACATTTTTCTATTGTTCTTATGAATTGCAAATTCAATTAACGCACACTTTACCAAACTTTATCTACGTAAAAAGTATTATTGCAAGTTATATGGGTTGTATATAACTTAATAGAATGGTGAAAGAACTTTGCGTTAAGAGCCCATTTGGTAACACTGAAATTGATTAGATCGGCTTATTCTCCTGAAATTT